TTTTTAACCTCCAGCAAATATAACCAGGGATGATTCAGACCTTCAACAGAGCGCATGCAAGCAGTGAACAGCAAACACGTACCAGGAATACAGGTGCTCTGGGCTGTTACAGAAGAGCTAAAGAAAGGGTTTCAAAGATGAACTGCATATAAAGTGCTCACAAAGATACCCCACAGAAGCAATGGGAAACCTGTGTACTGTCATATTTATCACGCCAAAATAAATGACAGGTTATGCCACAAATGTTCACATTAGAGTCTTGTTAACAGAAAATATTTCCCCACTGTTTTCTAAGTATTGGTAGAATTTACATAACAGCTTCTGCAAGTCACTAAGGATGCTGTGACTATGACATAATGAGAGTAATTTCTGTAAGAAACACATTTTAAAATGTTGCTTCTCCATCATATGCTATTTTTTCAATCCCAGGCATTTCTGTTTGGTTTTGCCATATAGTCTCACCACACTGATGCAACCCTGTACTGAATTCAGCAGCCCTGGCATCTTGGTGGGCTCTCTGAAATACCTCACAGTTTGAGATTCTTAGCAAGTTCCTGATCTTTCATAGATATCACAAGAAGTTAAGATTGATTTGTAAGAGAAAAAAGCCTGGGCAAAAGTCAATTCCAAGGCTAAAGGGCGCTTTTTGTTTCTGTGTAAAGTGTTTCGGTTTTCTTGCCCTTGGCACAGACTCTCTCATTTGAACACATTTTTGAATTGGGTATAGTATTATTTTATCGCTAATCACTAAACTCTTTCCCAATTTATTTACTTTGCTTCAAAAGTGCCACATCAACTACTAGTCCGTGTGGTACAAGGCATGAGGACATCAGCTCTGTGATGACGTGAGAACACAGAATCAGGACATTTCCTGAATTCCAGCTGACTGATGTCCCCTGGAGTCATGAAAATACTGGTGTAGTGACTGCTCTTCCAATGAGCTTTGTTTTCCGTGCTACCCAATGATTTTCATTTGTTCTAAATAAATATTTCCAGTGTTCAATTCAATGGATTCTATAGTGAACTATCCCCTTTGAATTAATTTCCTCTTACAAATCTGCTTGAAAATAAGTAAGCATTTACAGTTTGAGCAAACTGTGTGACTAAAGCAGGAATGAACATGTTTGTACTCATGGTGAGAGTGTCCAGTCTACTTGGGTCAGGAAAGGATGGAGTTTACTGTGGTCTAGTAGAAAACCCATGTTCTAAGGGAGGGTCTTGCACAGGCAAAGCCTTGGGGGCCTGCCTCATTCACCCCCATGTACAGTAGTCAGAAGCAGGAGACCTGGACAAAAAAGGAAGAGATCCCAGGGACAGTGAGGAATGAAATGAGAAAGGCCAGGCTCCCAATATTGTCCAATAGCAAGAGACACTGTGTCATAAAACATACTAGAAAGAATGGCTAAAGGAGTAAGTCGAATGCAGTGATTGTCTTAGGATGTGCTAATTAACTTTTCTGGGTAGAAAATTCATTTTGATTCTCTTGGGTTTTTCCCAGTATTTGCCAGGTTCACCTAAATTCTAAGAATCAGTGGGAATATAAAATCAGTGGGATTAGTTTTTGAACTTTTGATACCATTTTCCATGGACTTGAGGCAGTTTAAGGAAATGTGGTATGAGTATTTCACAAAATGGTCACGTTTGTCCACTGTCCCTAGAAAATATCTCAGTAAATAATCTCAGGAGGAAGACATTGTAACTGCAGCATGAGCAGGAATTACACTCAGAAGACATTGCCTTTAAATATTGTTAAACACAACAGTAACTACAGCAATAATAAAGCACCTATGTGCCAGGCCCTGCGCTCTCTTTATCAGAGAATAACCTGCTAACATCATTTAGCCTCAGGCCAGAGGCCAGGGCAAGGTGACCCCATGTTCTATTAATTTGATGTTAGTAAAGACTTCCTGAACAAAGGCTGTTACGTTTCTTTTCATTATATCTTGTTTTGGCACAGAGACACCAGAAAGAGATCAACTTGTTAATTGAGAAAATAAATTCTAAAGGCCAAGAGCATGTTAAATCTCACACACACACACATACACAAAAGAACCACAAGAACTCCACGAGCTACTTCTTTCTTGGGATTGGTCTCTTTGATAGGAAGTAATTTTGCAAAATGTATTATCTGTAGTTCTTGGAATCTTCTGGTTTTGTCTGTGGCCTGGATTTCGGCTTTGTGTAGAGGTAGGAGCTAGGAAAGCAGGGAGAGGCCCCAGTAAATTCTTTTCACTTGAGATTGAGGCTAAAAGTTTTTCCCCTTCAGATTCTAGAAATGTCTATTCCTTAGCAAATAGTGTTAAGTTATATCTGGTGATAGTTTAGGAAAATTTTTTTTTTTACTTTAAGACCTGAAAGTTATCGACTTCATGTGTCTTGAGTCTATGTACATTATGAAATTTCATTTAATATCTTGTACATATTGCAAATCTTAGCAAAGTTTATTTTTGTTTGTTTAAAAAAAAGCTGCAACTTATACCTTCAACTAAATTTTCAGGTTGTAAGCCATTTAAGTTTTGAGTACAATGACCAGAATGTACATTTATTCCTTTAAATTAAGACTAAGTGGAAAATAATTGTCGCTGTTATATTAAATGATTTATAAATATTTTCATTTTGTGTCCCTATATAGAGAAGAAATAATAAGGAAAAGACAGAATATCAAACACTCACTTAACCACATACACATTTAAATGAAGGAATTCAGTTTCTCTTCTATGAACCACTCAGTCAGAGGCATGGGCTGTTTCTGGACTCAATCTGCCCTGCTGAGCCGGTCTACCAAGATTTTTATGAAAACGTTACACAGCTCTTCCAAGGATGCTTGAGGAGTTGCAGTCAAAGGAAGAGACTTTGGAACTTATCAGGCTACAAGCAGAAAGGTGATCTGAGAAAAAGAACCCAACAAAAAAGGCTTTACTTTTCATGTTGTTATGAAAAGAATATGAAAAGTCCAAAACAAAGGCCTTCACATAGCTGTTTTTCAAAAAAGAACCCCCCCAAAACCTATTGTTTAATTTAATAGCATTTTGAGCAGATTTTGCTTTAACTGAAACACAATTTTCAAATGCCAGCTTAATATTTCCGAGAGGGACTAAGTAGCATCATGCAAACACAGTGCTCAGATCTTGGTTTCTAATGTCACTCTCCAATGTAAGGAACTGGGCTCCTTGGAGAAATGGTTGATTCTAGGACTGAGGTAGGCAAGAATGCCAGGAAGTAAGGAAATGCTAAAAGAGAAAAAGAAAACCCCCCACAGTGGTAAGTGATGAAGTACTCAAAAACAGACAAAACCCTCATACACAAACCGCCACAATGATAAGGGTATGGATATAGGAGCCAACTGAAAGAGCTCTCAATGGCCAATCTGAGTAACAAATGAAGCAGTACAGGATTATTACTAAAGTATCAAAATAAATATCCGTGAGTCCATACTGAAGTGACTGAATAAATAAATGAACGAGGGAGAAGAGACAAATTTCCCTTAAGAAAGAGTACCAAATAATTTATGTAGGTACTCTGCCCTCAAGAAGGTGGAGTATAAGTCCAGACTTCTAAATGTGGGCTGCACACAGTGACTTTCTTCTAAAGAGTACAGGATGGAAAGAGGAGAAAAAAAGATTAACTGCACACTGAGGGAACCTGATAAACACTACCTCACTAGGTAATCTAGGTTAATATCAACTGTGATAAATTATGTTTATAGCATGTACTTTTGATAGGATAAGATGAAAATGGTTGTTAATCTCTGTGGTCTTCCTTCCCAAAACACTTTACTCCAGTCTAACCATGAGAAAAACACTAGACAAATACTAATTGGGGTACATTCTACAAAATATCTGACAGGTAATCTTCAAAACTATCTAGGTCATTAAAACAAATAAAAAGAAAGTCTGAGAACTGTCACAGCCAAAAGGCGCCTAAGGCGACAAGATGACTAAATGTAATGTGGTGTCCTGCATGGGATCCCAGAACAGAAAAAGGACATTAGGGGAAAACTGAGAAAATCTGAATACTAGTAATGTATCAGTATTGGCTCATTAATTGTGACAAAGGTACCATACTAATGTAAGATGTTCATAATAGGGGAAGCTGGGTATGAGGTAAATAGAAACTCTTTGTACTACTTTTCCAATAATTCTGTAAATCTAAAACACTACTAAATTAAAATATTTATTAAAAAAAGAAAGATTAGCAGGGGATATAACTGGGGGAAATCACTAATACTGTTACCTTGGACTTGTACCAGCCTCTTTTGCTTGTTTTAAAAAAAAACTTCTATGAAAAAAGTCTCACTTGACTTCACACTGTCTGAGACATACAGACGGCCAATATTTTTTCTTGATTATAATAGGGAAGGAAAATATAACTATGTATACTTACCTTACTGTTGAATTAGGTGGTTTGGGCATCCTAGAGTAAAAACGGAAACAAATCTTAATTTATGTTAAGGACTTTTCAAAGCTTACATTCCTATTAGAAACTTGCTTAAGAATAAAGATGTATAATTTGACACAACATTGTAAAATGATTATAAATCAATAAAAAATGTTTTTTAAAAAAAAGAATAAAGATGTATCCCTTTTGCAAAATACAATGTCTTTAAGATAATATTATTGATTGACTTTCTGAAACACTGAGTGTTGACCAGAGTGTTGACCAGTTGTCTATTGATCAATTTTTCCCATTATGCTTATTCTAACTTCAGTCCCACCCACCATCTGTTTTGCATTTCTAACTTCTAATGATAGTAGAGCTCTGGTTCTTAACTGACATTCACTCTCAGAGGCAAAGCACCAAAGTGCTCTGAGGTAGCCTGACACCATGCACGTGGTACAATTACATGACCTAAAGTGACCTGAGTGTGGCCTGATTGGAGAAAACATGTAAGTACTGTGTGTGCTTTGTCCCTTTGCCCAGGATTGCTGATCTCTCATGATAGCAAATGTTGCCCAGTCGCAGAGAGGCCAGGACAAAGCTGAACAAGTTCCCGGAGGCATGCCTTTTCTGAATCAGTTCATTCAAAGGTTGTGTATTTACTAATTACTCTTAGCCCAGCACACTAAGAAATAACAGTGCAGTCCAGGAACAAAGTCCACACTAGAGAAGGATTGTCATCCTCTTTCACGTGATTTCAACAATTAGTTTCAGCCTATGCAAATATTTCTGAAGTATTTCAGTTATGAAAAATAAACAGCATGCCATCATTTGACGGTAAAGGTTAGTAAAATGTGAATATACTGTTTACTTTTTTTATGTTTCTCTGTTTAGAAAGTGGTACATATTTAATAGTCTATAATGTATTATAAATACATAATTCCCATGAATCTTAAAAGGTTTATCTTTATTTATTTGGACGCTAAGTTTGTGCACTGAGAACTAAAAAAAAGCATGTCTTGTCTTTCAGTTATGTTTTTGGCTGAGTAGGGGAGTGGGAAGGCAATGAATATAAGAATCTATGCCACAGGAAACTATATTCAATATCTAGTAGTAACCTATAATGAAAATAAATATGAAAAGGAATATATGTAAGGTGTATGTATGAGTGAAACATTATTCTATACACTTGAAATTGACATAACATTGTAAACTGACTATAATTCAACTTAAAAAAAAAGAATCTATGGGATCTAGAATTACCAGATTGGATATTATATATGAAACATTAAGTCAGCATCTAAAATTTTTCTCATGTGACAAATTTAGCTGATATTGACAAGTACATGCCTAAAATTGACTTGATTCAAAATGGAAAAAATAAGAAAAAGAAAAAAAAGCTTTTTAAAAAAAAATTCAAAGTTTGAAAGGGTAAAATGAAAATTAAAAATGCTCAGAGACACCAATTTCTTGACCTGAACTTATCCATTATTTTACTGCCACCCTATGCTACAAGTTTACTAATCCTAAAGGGATGAATAAGCCCCAGTAACCACAGATTTCATGTATTTCTGGCTCCCTCTTGTGGCTGAACTCTAGATTAGCTTCTTACCTATAAACAGATTCCTAACAGTTCTAATTAAGTGTAAAAATTGGTATTTTCATTGTTTCTTCAGTGCTGTCAGTGATTTATTCTAAAACTTTTAAAGTATGCTCTTATAATATGTACAAGAGACTTCAAAGAGCAAACAATCATGTAATACAGTAGAAAGTTATTCCTCTAAGCAAATGGTAAATTAAGTATTCCTTATCCAAAAAAGAGACTCAGGGAGTAATTTTATTAAGAGTTATTTGTAGATTGTCATAACACACTTCTCTCATAAAATTCTGATTAAAACTTTTGTTGAGGGTGCTGGGACATTTTCTATGAACCTTTTAAGAAATGCAACAGATTCTTACTAGATTGAATAACTAGATCAAAGGCAGGGAAATGAGCCAAGATGATCTGTATGAATCACTTCAAACATTACTATTCTGTATATATCTCCTATTTTTCTTTCACTTGTTTAAATGCAACAAACTATTAGTAAATTTTAGTGTATCTGTTTTATTTTTGTTGTTTGGACTTGGTTTCTATAATTAATGATCTCTACTGAAAAAAAGGAACATTTTTGTTTTTCTAGAAGTTCTCATTTTGGACCTTTCTATTTCTCATATAACTCATTCCCACTTAAAAATGTTATTTGATCATATAAGGAAAAGGAACCACAGACTTACAAAGAGTCATTTCCATAGACATCACTTTTTTTGTTCTGTGACAAATAATAGAATTGCTCAACAGGAAGCTTTCTGAAAAAGAAGAAAAGACGAAATTGAACATCTTTATAAATTAACACAGTATGATGCTGAGATAGTAAAAAGACAAAAAGACTGATAAAACCATGTATAAATGGTAATTCAATATATGAAAAAGTTTTAAATTAGTGGGAGAAGGTTTGCTTTTCAATAAACAATGCAGGAGAAACTAGCTACTTGGGAAAAAGACTTATTTCATATTATTTATAAAGATAATTCAGATGGATTAAAAATCTAAAAAATTGGGGAAAGCATACAAATATTAAGGGAAATATACAAAAATATGTTTTCTCTTAGTGATAGAGAAAATATATTAAATAAGATTTAAAAAAAGTCAAAAACCAAAAGGAAATTTGATAACATCAAATGTAAAACTTCTGAAGACAGGACAGGATAAAAAAGCTCAAATAAAACAAAGATTGGAAGAAATACTTACAATAAAGATACATAAAGGATTAATATCCAGAACATAAAGATCTACTAGGGATCTACAGCTAAAAGACAAGCAACAAAAATGGGTGAAAAGTAAGAACATAAAAGGAAATATAAATGGTCATACATAAGAAAACATGAGCATAAGGAAAAAGTACTCAACCTAACCAGAGAAATGCATTCTGATAATGATGATAACCTTTATATTAATTAGATGGGGAAAAATTGTACAGTTTGATAATATAACACAGTTCGCTAAGTATGGCAAAGTGGATACTTTTAGACACTACCATGAGAATATAAAGTACTTGGGCTGTATCTACTAAAATTTAAAAAATTCATAGAATTGTATAGAAATGCAAATCAAAACTACAACTAGATATTACCTCACACCAGTCAGAACGGCCATGATTAAAAAGTCTACAAATGATAAATGCTGGAGAAGGTGTGGAGAAAAAGGAACCCCCCTACACTGTTAGCGGGAATGTAAATTGGTGCAGTCACTATGGAGGACAGGATGGAGTTTCATTAAAAAAACTAAAAATAGACTTACTATATGATCCAGCAGTCCCACTCCTGGGCATATATCCGGAGAAAAATATAATTAAAAAAGACACATGTTCCCAATGTACCTCAATGTTCATAGTAGCACTATTTACAATAGCCAAGATATGGAAACAATCCAAATGTCCATTGACAGATGACTGAATAAACATGTGATATATACAATGGAATATTACTCAGCCATAAAAATGTCATTTGCAGCAACATGGATGGACTTG